AGGATGAATTTTTCTTATTTTCATTACATATTTTCCTAAATTTGTTATACATATTTTTTAGAAAAAATAAATATATTTCCTATGATACATACAATTACGACAATATTACACACAAATAAACAAAAACAAAAATTTTTTTTTCGGATAAGAAAATCCTTGTAATATAATTATGTTAATATCAAAAATTCAGGATACAATACTTAAGTAAAAGAATTTTTATATTAAACAATTCCATTAGGAAAATCAAATTTCTAAACCAAAAATTAAAAAGGGATTTTGTTTATAATTTAATTTTTTTTTTTTTTTGTTTAAGGAAATTTGAATAAGAATCCCTACGTTTATATTCTAATAGACTTTGAAAGAGACATGATAATGTTTTCAATAATAAATTCGATTAGGGAATACGCGTATGGTAATTTTTTTAGAGAGCAAATAATTAAATTCAAGTTTGAGGAAACAATGAAATGTTCAAAAGTATAGGTGTACCCGAATAGAGGAGGATATAATTTACAATTTATATAAAATGAGATAAAATTATGTAAGATGAATTATATAAGATTTTCAAAATTATTTTTATTCTGAGCGAAAATTTAAAATTAAATTTTAAATATTAAAAATTAAAATAATTATCGGAAAATTCAAAGATCTGAATGAATATAATTCAAAAATAATTTAATACAATTCGATTTACATAGGAAATTTTATGTAGGAAATGTGCTTACGGGTGTAAATTATGTGTAATTTAACCAGATTACCATTATAAAAATCGCATTACGAGTATATATTAGTAAATTTTCATGCAAACTGAATAATATTTCTAGAATTTATATTAAATATAATTTCTAAATTAAATTCAATATTCAAAATATTCAATATATCTACTACATTTGAAATTATATTTTTATAATTCTATTCATAGAAATCAAAATCCCTATATCAATTACTTTGCAATTGATATTATTCAATAATAAACCTTAAAAAATCTTGTATTCATTTCAAATTGTAAATAGGTGTATCATGTTTGAGTAAAATTTTTCTATTGCATTGTAATTAATATTATTCCATTACTGAATTATATACGACGAGGAATTATGGGCGAGGACATTAAAGTATTTAATTGCATATTTTAAAATATAATTGAATTTTTTTTAGTATATGAATAAATTTTAATTATATTCAAATTTAAATAATTATTTAATATTGGTATTTAAATTGAAATTTATTTAGGCGTACATATTTTTTCGGGTGAGGGCCGGACGGTTTATTTTCAAATATTCTACTGATATTGAATAAATTTTAATTTACAAATTTAGTTTGATATTTCTTTTTCCCCGAATCCACTAAAATTTAGATTTCTAAATATTATGCAGGCATAAGAGGGAATTTTAATATTTTAATAGGCAGACATTCTCGAATTTGAACACTACATTTTAAAGGGTATGTGACGGTGTAAAAGAGCATAAAATAGCACATTTAAAGTTTCTAGAGTTTTTGGAGTGCTCATCATTAAATTCTACTGTAAGGTTATAATAAGACTATATGACTATATCTATAAGCCAAACTGCCTATGTTAATACTTCAAATGACAATAAGTTTTCGGCAATATTTTAATTGAATTTAATAACAGCTAGAATTTGAATGTTATATCGCAATAGTATATTATTTTCAATTCTGTGATATTCAAAATTCCATGTTTTTTGAAAAATTTAAACGCCTTTATTTTGATAATAATGCATGTGAAATTGAAAATATGTTTTTCTATTCATTTGAATAAAATCATGGGTAAAATTTAAAAAAAATTTTTTATTAATAATTTTAATAATTTCATTTTATACAATGCCTACAGCAGTACGTCATATTAATTCAAATGTCATAATCCATCATTTTACATTAAATCATAACTCTTATATTTACATTGAAAAATTCATAGGGTACTTTAACAATATTGTATTTATGTAAATACAAAAATAATTTGTTTATATATCAATAGAATTGAAGTCGCATAATTTCTAATTTTTTTTTAAATAAACATTATTCATTAAAATTCATTTTATTATTAAATTTATTCAATAATTCTTTATTTGGAATATTAAATTTTACCAAAAAAAATAATGGACGTGTAGGCATACGAAATTCATTTTAAAATTCATATATGAAAATTTTTGTAATTGATTTCAAATTACTGGAAATTTTTTTAATATTCTATAGATAATAAATATATTAAAATTTTTTTTAAATAGAATTCGTATTTTTTTTCAAAAATTCCTGAAATGGAGCGCCGTTTGTATTTATATATTATGTGAAATATTTAATTAATAAGAGAAAGTAAATTAAAATCTAAAATCACTAAAGAGTAATATAATATAAAATTATTATTGAATTCAGAATAATTTAATTAATTTTCAAAAGTTCAAAGTGCCCCTCTTTGTGAATTTCAAAAAATTTGTGAAAAAATTAATATCACAATTACGAATTTTTTATAAGGTAAAATTAAATCTCTACATAAAATTCTACATACCCCTTAAATTCATAACACGTACAAGTATGTACGAATAATTTGAGAATTTATAAAATAAAAGTTTTTAAAATGTTATGCACGCAATCAAGAATGAGAGATTATATTCACCTTGTGTATAATAAATATAAAAAAAAAATAAATTGTTCTCAATTTTTTGTTGATATTCTCTAAAGAGAATTATATTTATTCTCTCTTAAAAGAATTATCAGAAAATTAATGTCATAGTATGTGACTCGATCTTTTATAATTTACACTCATTTTTAATAGCATGGAATATATGTGAAACGATTCTCAAGTAAAAAAATTATTTAATAAATTAATTAATTAACTACACTTAATTAAGGGTTAGAAAAATAAGTTTCGTACAAAATTTGGAATTATATATTTTAATAATTAATCTTTTAACTGATTGCAATTGTTCACATTAATCATTTTAAATTAAAATTTGATTTATTATAACTAAAATTAATTTAAAACAACATCAAGAATTTCAAATTTGAGCATTACTACAAAATAATGTGACACACTAAGCTTTTATCTACCCAAAATTTTTTAGAATTAAAATATTGTTCATAAAATTATAAAAAGAACAGACGAATCACAAGAATATTTTAAAAATTTAAAATAGTTTCTCAAATTCTAACATTATAGTATTTGTTTTCTATTTTTGAGAACTAAGCTGATTAAATACTCTTTCTTACTAATAACAATATTATAAATTCAAAAATCATATTGCTTTAAGTGGGTATATCTGGATGAGATTGTAGATTATACAATGTAGATTTTAAGGGAACCGAATGTGGTGGGAGAACCGAGTGGCAAGTGAGATATATGTTGAATAGAATCAAAGGAATCTTATTTTTCAGTTGATCATTTCAATTATTAATCAATTATTTGAATCCTACATATAATAAATAAGATTTCAAGAATTCACTGACAAAAAAAAATTGATTTCGGCTTCTGTACTATACTTCCTTAAATTTCAAATTAAAAAAAATTTTTTTTAATTAAAATTTGGTAAAATTATTAATAAATTATAATAATATTATAATTAAGTGTTATAACACTGATTCAAATATAATTATAACATTTTAAAAAAATCTCAATTAGAAGCAATTCAATTGCATTATGTTATGATTGGATTATTGAATAATTCTCTTTATAATTGAAATATTCTCTTTATTGAGAATTATTGAATAATTCTCTTTATCAGCAAAAATTTGCAAAGAATTTGTTCTATCAACTCATGTATTTGCGTAGTATAATTCTATTATAATTGTGATGTTTTTTTTTGAAAGTGGTATAAGTCAAATTTTTCATATATTGAAATATTTAAGAATTTGGGTTTGAATTAATTTAAAATTATTGCCAGTAATAATATAATTTGTTTATTTTATGTTTAAATAGAATTCTTTTGGAATTATGATAGCAACTGTGGAGAGAAGGTGTCTATAGCTCATCAAAATTACAATTAACTTAGTCTTTTTAAAAAGTGGACTTTAACACTTTCAAAAAATCCAGTTCAATTCTTATAACTGTTTGGCATACATGCCATTTAATTAAATTTTTTCATGAATTTCTTAATGCTAATATTAATTTTAATTTAAATTAAAAATTATTGCAAAAATCCTTTACCTATACAACATTTAAGTTGTAAATTTAATATTAAAAAATTTTATGAAAAAAAAAATTACATTAAAAATTTTAAATTCTCCTGTTTACCTTATTTTTGTTCAAATTAATTATTTTTTTTTTGTTAAAACAAAAAACAAAATTTGTTAACTTCAAAATTCCAACAAAAAAATATTTGTTAAACTTTTAATAATCAAATGAGACGACGCATTAAAAAAGAAAAACAAGAAAAAACATAAACAAAATCCCAAAATAATTCTTAAATAACAAAACAAAAAATATTTACCACCTGTACCCCATAGGATTTGTAGTAATGTAGCGTACTCAAAGCTACTCTACATATAACACTAATTAGCTACTCTTTTATACTAAATAATAAATATTTATTTACTTTTTTTTTAATTCCTACTACCATTATAAATATTGTATGTTACATCATAACTCTCATTAGTAACAAGGCAAAACAAAACAAAAAAATTAAAAATAAGAAAGTTTAATTAAAAAAAAATAAAATAAAAAATTTCTAGATACTTTTTTTTCTTAACTCAAATTTTTACTTAGTAAGTATAAGAAAATATAATTTAAAACAACAACTAAAAAAATAAAAAATGGGAAGGAGAAATATTACAGAAAAAAAAAACAAAAACCCATAAATCATTTTCTTAAGGAAAATTTAAAACAAACTTAAATTTTAAGTATATAGTAATGGCAAATAGAGATTCTGGGAAGAATATAGTAGGGTCTTAGGGGGTTTTTTTGGTGAAACAAAACAAAAGAAAAAAATACTAAAACCAAAATATGAGAAAAAATAAAGAAACTAAAAAAAAATAAGTGAAATTGAAAAACTTACTTTAGTTCTTGTCCATCGATAATATCACCAGATTCCTGAAGTTTCATTGCATACAATCCTTGTGCGAATTCCTATGGGAGAGAAACAGGGAAAAATATGAGAAAAAAAAATATTAAATGAATGTTTTTTTTTTATTTCTTTTTTTTTCTCCGCTTCATTCCTTCATTAAAGTAGAAAAATTACAGGAAAATAATTTTAAAAGAATGTTTGTTTGTTTTTTTTGCCCCTGTTTTATTCCTGTTCCTTAAGTTTTTTTTTTAAATTAAACTTTTAACTATTTTATATATTATAAAAGAATTTTCAGTTAATGACAATAAAATATTTTCAGAGATGGTATTTGTACTAAATGAGTTCGAATTTATGACAATTATTATTTATGCTCATGAATGTTAATTGTTACAATAATTATACATTAAATGAATGTAATTATACAATAAAGAATGTAACAGTAACAGAATATGAGAATTTTCAAATCTTGTGTCAAATTTATCAAATACTTGTGAATTATAATTTTCTCTCTCTCAATTTGAACCAAAAAAATTGAATTTTTTCTCAATTTGATTTTAATACATGCTCTTACTCTTAGGTTATGCATAAAATCTTCTCTGTAATTGTAAAACCAGAATTAAAGCGGTGAACAGCAACGACAGACGATTTCCGTTATTAACCTAGAACAAGAACGGAACGACGAAATCAAGTTTGCAGTGTCAGTAATTTATCTCTTGATTCAGGAGAGTCCCATTTGAAAATATGTGTATTCTATATGAATTCTAATATTTCATCGCGGAAGAAATCGCTCTTATTCTGTTTTCAATATATAAATTATAACGACAGGATTAGAAAAAATAATATAGTATAATAATGAACTTTAAAGAAAACTTAAATCAGTATATCAGGTGGACTTATATATCTGTATTGAAATTTGAATATGCTTTATTATATAAGAATAATAGTAATTATTTAAATGAGAATAGAATAATTTTTTAGCGAAAGAATTGAAAAATTTGATCAAAACTTACATAATACTAAGCGATAAAATACTATTAGAGTGATAGTAATAATTGGATGTTTCATGTTTTATAAGCGTATAACGCACCAATGCTCCTATTGCCAGTGAATAGTTAAGCGTAATTTTGAAAGCAAACAATTTATATGCGAATTTTTATTGTAAACGGAACTAAGAGCTTGCAAACGTTTTGAAGAAATTTTTTATTAAAAAATTACAAATCGACAAGAAATAAGTGTGCATAAATTCTCCTCCCAGCTATTGTTATTTTGTGACGATTAGTGTTACAAGGACTTTTATACATTTACGATATTATTACGATATTTTACGATATTGTTATGATATTTTACGATATTAATACGATATTTGAAATATTCTATTTTAATTTTTTTTTTTTAATTTTAAAAACTCTTACACTATACTGTAGCACGAATTGGGCTTAAAAATTTTATTATAAAAATTTAAAAAAATTTTTCTCGTATATGAAAATCTCAATCTTTGATATTTTATCAAATATAATTTTGTATTGTCATATATAGAACAAAATCAAAACTAATTTAAAAAAAGAAAATCCTCATTTATTTTAATTATCAACACAACATTCCGACAGCGGACCTAATTACGATATGGGATATCATTTATAATCATACAAAATTTTACTTATCTTCAACATAAAATATTAATGAATGACCATCTCTGGAAATATTTTTTATAGTATTTATGTAGTTTTAAAACTTTTCACTTAAAGAATGTACACATAAAGTTGCACAGAATAAAAATTGAAGAGAAAACAAGAAAAACCAAAAAAAAAAATTTGAAATAATTTTTTTTTCTCATTTATTTCTCTTCGTTTTCTTTTACTCGTTATTAATATACTTACTTCACCATTCTCTGGAGGATCACCATTACCAAATGTTGATGCAATCACTATTAAAAGTGCTTCATGTTCTATCGATGATATGTCATAGTCAGACATACAATACACCTGTAAAGATCATATTATATGGTTAAAAGAATACAATAAAATCCCACACAATATAATTTGTTTTTTTTCTCAACTTTTCTTATTTTATTAAAAATGTTGAAGGATATTGTTGTTGATTTCTTTTTTTGATATATATAAAGTGAGTGTTAAAATAAGTGTTCATATTAAAAATAATATGAAAATAATAATTTAAGTTTTTCTTAATAATATATATATATATATATATATATATATAGATACCATATTGTGAAAAAATATTTTAAAGAGAAAAATTACATAAAATTAAGGATTTATTATTATTATAAAAGGATCATTTATATACAAAGCATGTTAGAATATTAAAGAATCCTTCAATAAAATTATACATACTTATATATGTATAGATAATAATGATCCTTGTGCTAATATTATGTGTCAGTAAGTAAGGATAATAATATTAAAGGATAATAATTTTCTAAAGAAAAAGAGAAACGAACGAGCAAAAAATGTTATGAGATCAAAATAGTTTTTGGTTCTCAGTTCTAATGAATTTTATTACTAAGTTGAAAAGTTAATGGATAAAGTGTAAAATAATTTTTTTTTAAAGGATTTTTCGCAAAATTTATCATTCTTAAAAATATATATGTAGAGTTTAAAAACTTAAGTTTTTGAAAACTATATCATTATAGTAAATTAACTTGAAAGAGAGAGCAAGTGGGTGAGATACAATTGTGTGAAATAAGTGGAAAATCACATTATTTTTAAAATTGCATCGCATATCCTTTTTCTTAAAAAAAACTAAAGTTAATAATGTGCATTTGTTTTCTTGTATTTTTGTTAAATTGAGGTTAAATTTTAAGATTTTTCTATTTGGTCTACATTTCTGATTATGATAAATCTTTCAGATGAAAATTTTGAAAAAAAAAACGAAGAAAAAGGATGGTGGTAATTTGAAATAGGGGCTCTTGAAACAAGGACTCTTGAGATTATTTAATGGAACTGAACAAGTCATTAAGAGCAATATGGAGAATAAAAAACTTACTTTACTTGAATTGCTGAAAGTATTAAAGTAAAGTAAGTAATCTTTAGAATTTGAAATATTTTTGTTTCCAAAATTTTTCCTCAAATAATTTGGATCTTAAGTGTTATTGAACCATTAAGGGAAAATAAGAAGAATATCGTAATTAATTATTGAATTTTAAAATAAAAGAAATTAAGTAATGAGTCTTGCAATCACTTTACCACAGTAAGCTTTATTCGAACTTCAACATTGACTATTAAATCTCGAATTCATATCGGAGCAGGCGGAAAACTAAGTATAGAAAGTAAGTAAACTAGTATACAAAATATTCGCGCGTTTAAAATATATGAAGAACTACTAAATAAATTTAGGTAAAAACAGCATAAGAAAACTATATTTTTAGAAAATAATATTAAGAAATCACATATTTTTAGGCGAATATCTGGAGAGCAGCTCATTAGAATGAAATTTAGTAGAGTTTCATTTGAACTGAAAATATTATATTACTCTGAAAAATATTATAAGAACAGATTCTAATAAGAAATAATTAAAATATAAATTTTGTCGTATATATTCCCCCAAAAGTATGCAATATTTCAAAAACTTTTCAAAAACATATTTCAAATTTTTTTAATTATTTCGACACGTTTATAAACCATTTTTCATTTTTAACAAATAATAAAAATTTAATATTATTGAATTGAATAATAATATTGAATATTTTATAAACGTAAATTTACTAAAAAAAAAATTTAAATCCCTATTTCCGGTTACATTAACAAAAACAGAATATTAAAGAGACATTATAGTGTATCTTAATAAAAAAACAACAAAAAAAAAATAATTGACGCATAAAACAAACATATACACTGAATGTTGTACAAACACTCATATTAAGTAGAGAAGAATAAAAAGGATTTTGTTTAAGAACGGCATACTTTTTTATTGAAACAATAACACTAGGCAAACACACACACACACACGCACACATGAACTCATAAATAACAGGAAAATTTACTTTGTTATTTTTTTCTCAATATTATCAAAATTTTCCATTGAGGCAAAAAGAGAAAAACGTGCATACCGCAGAGATTTTTTGCTTTGTATTTTCTCAATTTTTTGTTTATTTTATTTTTGCTTTAATTCTGATTCTTCTTTTTCTTCATAATAACGTTGGTTAAGGATTTTGATTCTCTTTATATTTGCATTTTGTTTATTTTCTTGTATTTGTTGAGTTTCTGTTTTCTTTGCCCCCAATAAATGGGACATTAGCATCATCAAAAAAATATGATAGTCGTCTCGTACCTTAAAAATTAAGTCACCTAAGAAAGAAGAAAACAAAAATTATAAAAACAAAAGGAAATTTTTATACTCTGACACAGTGAAAAGGAAACAAAACATAGGGACAAAAAAAAAAATGCTTTATACAAATTCGAAAGGATAAAAGGATAACAACATAAAAATATGTTTTAGAGCACTAGAGCACAAAATGAATGGGTGAATATTAAACCTTTTGCATTTTTTTTGTATATTTTTTCCTGTCTTCTGTTTTTTCTGCTTTTCTTTTTCTTTAATATGAAAAACGTGATCAGATTTCCAATAATATTCAACCATATATCCTTTTCGATACAAAAAAAAGAAAAAACAAAAATATAAAAACGGATAAAGAATGTTTAGTTTTTTTTTTTATCTTTTCTTTATCCTTTTGTTGTATTTTTGTGTATTTGCTCTATTGGATGTAAAAAAAAAAAATAAATAAGGTGACATTGTAAAGCATGGTGAAAATTCTTTTATTCTCATATGTATACAGTCTATATTTATGAAAAACTAAAAATTCACTCAATCACCTATATATACATGCACATTGTATTATGAAAATTATTGCGTGGAGGAAGCTAAATATTAGTAGATGTATTTTGAGTAATTTTCCCGTTTGATGAATGATTTGAAACATTTTTGGGACACCTTATCAATTCTGCAGTATCCATACAAATACTATCTATACGAGTTCATATAGACAGCGGGGATTCACAAAAGACTTATAATCAATTTTTTTTATTTTGTTCTAAAAATAATGCTTTCATTTGGGAACTTGTTCATACAATTCAGTTTAATTAGAATTTGCAATGGAGTTCAGATAAGGAAAAAATTATTTTTTAATTGTCTTCTATTTTATAAGTAGTTTTACAAAAATAACTAAATTTTATTAATATAAGCGCATTATTAGTTCAATTATTTGCGAGAAATTTTAATCCTGACAGTAAAAAGATGTTCTCCCTGATATTCTCACAGTAAGATAAGATAGTGTAGGTAATTGAATAGATAGAAATCAATTATTTTTGGAATTGTAAAGCAGCTATTCGAAAAACTGGTACGATAAAGAGCCTAAATGAAATATTTTATGGAAATTGAATAAGTTATCCGTAATATCTTCATATTACGGATTTTAATAAACTATTAAAATTCTATCTTCATTTAGTTTTACAAGAGCCTGTCGCCAGGCTTTTTGTGCCTTCAATTTTATGCTTTTTGTGTCATTTTAATTAAGCTGCAATCAATCAATCGTAGTAGTTGAAAATTCTATTTTTTTGTAGACCTATTATTATAGCACTGATTATAATCATTTCATATTAATATTTTCTCAATAATCGCGGGAAAAAATAATCCGAAGAAACAAAACTAAAAAAAAATTATTATAAAAATTCAATATTTGCATATTAAGATTTTTTTTCTTCCAAGGATCTTGTTGTGAATGGAGATTTCCTCCTCACACTTTAATATTTTGTTCACGATGATATCGTATATGTGTAACATTAGAATTTGTAAAAGATTTTTTGTCAAAAAAAAATTCTTTTTTTTTTTCGATTTTTTGTATTTCATTCTTTATATAATTCTAAAATTCAAATATTATATTTGATAATAAATGTAAAAGGTAAAAAACCTCATATTTACCATTTTCATCAGGAGACAAATTATTATTACTATACTCATAATATTTATATACACCCAGTTCTCTCTTTGCTTGCAACGAGTGCACTTGTATTATACAGCAATAATTAAACATACAAACAGTTATAAAACAACAAAAAAAATTAAGAATAAAATTAATACCAAAATAAAACGAAGAATTAGTGTAAAATTACTTACTGCGGATGAACCGCATGTAATTTCAAAAATGGCAAGAAAAAAAACAAATTCTAAGAGTGGTAGTACCACATCTAAAGTTAATACTAGTAATTTTTACGCACCATTACAAACGATAGACGATAATAGTTCTAATATGGATAATCACATTGATGATGAAAGCATCATAACTAGTGACGTAGAAAGCAAACATGTGCTTCCTCCAATTACTATAATAAAAAAGAAAGCAAAAGATGTTCATGAGCTTTTAAAAGCCTGTGAAATTGACGATTATTATATTAGATCGATTTCGATTGGGATTAAAACATATTGCAAGTCTGTAGAATCAAACCACAAACTCATTTCTGCGTTAAATCAACAAAAATATGAATTCTTTACTTATGATTCAAAAGATATGAAACCTTTTAAGGCTGTGTTATCGGGTTTGGAGGCATTAGAACCAGCTGAAATCATAAAATACTTAAATAATAAAGGTTTAAAATGTATTGAAATAAAGAAAATTACTAAAAATACGCAATCTAATTATGAGTTGAACTTGTACATTGTGTACATTGAAAAAGGTACAACAACTTTAAATGAATTAAGGAATAAGTTTTGCTACATCCATAACACTAAAGTTCGTTGGGAACGTAAGATCTCACAAAAAAAAATTACCCAGTGTTACAACTGCCAAATGTATGGCCACGGTTCTAAAAACTGTAAAGTTGTTACAAGATGTGCATATTGCGCTGGTTCGCATCAAACTTCATTATGTGACAGAAAGGTTAGCAAAAAATGTGCCAATTGCAGTGGTAATCATTATTCGTTTGATGATGTATGCCCTAATAAAATCACTTATCTCGCTTTGGTTAATCGT